ACATTTGTTGAAGTCTTTGCATTTTCCATTTTTTCCCCTTTCCAACTCTTCACTCTTGAAGGACATGAAGGAGTGAGGATTTTCGATTTTTTAATCCAGAAAAACGGGTTTTGTGTCCGTCAAACTGTGAGTTTTGAGGGAATATCTGGCGGGAACGCTTTAAGTAATCGAAAACCGGGTCTTTCTTGCAAATACACTTACTATTTCTTCTTGCTTTCTCTCCTCTTCACTTGCGTTGACCTTTAATATTTTTATTTCTTTTTATTTAAAATAACATGAACCATTTGCTTTCCCTTTCCTGTTCCAGTGGCGGTAGGCAGGTCGAACTCGAATGCCGGAGATTAGGACGCCGTTCTTTCTGACGGTGCGAGGAGGCGAGCAGTTGCACCTACGGGGGAAACCGTCTGAGCCACAATCCCTTGCGTTTGTCAGTGCGCTAACAACACTTGTGTTCACGCGGCGTCTAGGGAAAACTACATCGACCCCAGTGACTGTGTCGCTAGTTGCGCTCTGCGACACGACTGGCACGGGTACGGGTCATGACAACTCCTTTACCATAGCCAGCCACCAGTTTGTCGCATCGGTATCTGCCAGGGAAGGTGATGATGGAGCGGAGGAGGCAGCTGTGGTTTTGCTTCGCTCACCCATTGTTCTGACATCCTCTGGACCTGTTCACGCGCTGGAGGTGCGGTGTGCAGAGACGAAGTGTCAGGATCTCACACGGGGCAAACTCGCAGACGCCGCAGTCTACGCGGTCACCATGCATGGAATGCAGCAGACCACGCTGACGAAGGCGCAGGTGAAATTGCTTTCTGCTGCGGGTAAAGGGATGAGACTGAAATGAGGATCATCCCCCTGTTACTTTTATTTTTCTCTCATTGCTTCTGAGGCCGATGGAGAAGCTGACTTCAGAACGATCCATACATACTGAAATTGAAAAAAAAATATAATAATAATAATTTTCTTTTTTTAAAAAGAAAGTAATGCGGGACCCCCTAGCATAATTTCTCTACGAGAGTAAGTTGCAGGGGAGAGGCCTTCACTAGCGTCGCAATATTGCCTTTCTGCCCCGTTTGGTGTTACATGTATTTATTTTTCTGGCTTGGGTAAAGTTTCTTTTTTTTCCTCTGTATTGTTTTGTGCGTTTTGGGGAAAATCGCAATAGCTATTGAGGAAATAACGGGATAAGGACAAGTTCTTACAAACAGAAGTACACAAACTGTTTCAGTAGGTAAGAGACACCGAGAGGGAGAGTTTGCTTCTGTTATTGTTATTGTTATTGCTATTATTAGCATGGGGAACGATGATGCAGCATGACGTGACGCGCAGCCAGTGGGAGATGAATAACTTTGTGGTCACGGACGACAGCTTTTTATTCCCCAATACGGAACTTATGGAAGAGCTCCACAAGACACAACCGTGGAAGAAGTCACCACGCTACTTCAAACGGGTAAAGGTCTCCATTTTAGCGGCGCTGCAGATGATGAGCCATGCGCAACGTGGAAGCCCCAATGCGGCGTGCCCCAATGACGGTGGCACTGGTGCCGCTTCTTCCCCACCCATACGAAGTGAGCCTCGTCACGAGAATTGGTTTGAGGTGATGGGTCTAATGTTGGGTCACTTCACCGAGGAGGAAATGATTGTGACGAATGCCTTTGCTCTCCCTGTAGACGCCTCCGAGGTGGAGTGCGCCATGAATGACGCATCACAGCTGTACATGCTGGAATATCTCCAGTATCATCAGCGTGGTGGAACGCAGGAGGGTTGCATTGGGTGGTACCACAGCCACCCTGGCTACACCTGTTTCCTCTCAGGCACAGATGTCAGCACGCAGCAGCTTGGACAGAAGGCACAGGACCCGTGGGTGGCCGTTGTGGTGGACCCGGTACGCACCTTATCTACTGGGATGTTAGATATGAAGGCTTTCCGCACATTTCCTGAGGACTACGCAGCAGAGCTACAGCGGGCACGTCAACAGGCGGGCGGACGACACTGTGGGAGCCCGACGAAATCCACCGGTGTGCCTTCGGAGCGTATTAAGGAGTACGGCGTGCACGCCCACCGCTACTACGAGCTTCCCATCACGCTCGTGCGCAGCAGAAGCGATGAGGCCATACTCGATTGTTTGTGGTCCCGTTACTGGGCACAGACATTCCTTTCCAATCCGCTCACTACGAATCGGAAGCTCATGACACAGCAGATTCATCAACTGACTGACGTGCTTGAAAGTGGCCTTGCAACTCGGCAGAAAAAGATGGTGAAGGACGATGAATGCCAGTTTGATACTAAAGTGCGGAGTCAGGAACAATACGCGGATGCCGTTGGCGACGGTGATGTGGCGCACGACAACAACGAAGCTTTCAAAGAAAAGAGCCTTCAAGTGCGTTACTTGACGTCCGCTTTGGCCGCAGAGGTGGCGTTGGGTGGCGTACTTTTGGTAGTTAAAAGTTCCGTCTTTCAGGCCTAACTTTTCCCTCCACTTTTCTACCTGTTTGTGCTCTTGCGCTGCATCCGTAGGAAGAAAAACATGTTTTTCGGGCTGAGTAAAACAGAAGCAAAAACAAAGAATATAAATTTCTGCCCTCTATGTGTTCCATACTTTATTCGGAATTCTCTGCGGGCCAAATAAAGGGCGCCAGGGGTTTGTAATAAAGAGTATTTCCCCCCCCCCTTTCTAGGAGCTCTACTCTCCTCCTTGACACTTTCTCAGGCATTCGAAGGTGAAATTGCATATTTTTTTTCTTGTTCGCATTTTTGTCTTTTCCTGGTGACGTGTCATTTTTTCAACAATTCGCATGTATGCACCTCCCACCCATCCTTGCAAGACAACAGACAAAGGCTTTAGAGTGGGGGCAAAGTGAATACGCCGTGCACCTCTCTATTTTTTTTTTCTCTCACAGTGTGTGTGTGTGCCTGTGTGCGTACGTTATGCAGACGGCATCCATTCTGCAGCGTCTCTTGACGGAGGAGGGAGCCTTCTTTCACCCTGCAATGCAGGTGGCGCCCATTCCTTCCATGGGTGGTGGCTACGGTGTGGTGGCCACGGCTCCATTAAGGCCTGGAACGCGTCTCGCAAAGATACCACGGCATTCTATGATCACGGCTAGCAAGGCACGTCGTTATTTGGCATCTTTTGAATACCAGCACAGACGTGTCCTCTCTGAAAGCAATCCATTTTCTCACAAGACCGTTTCTGCAGCAGCCTTGGCAAGCGTTGAAAGAAAGCTGTCGCAGAGTCTTTCTCCAGCAAACACTATTATTTGTTATCTACTTCTGATTGCGGCACAGTGCCGTCGTTTTCCCGCCCCACATACTCAAAATGGCATGGGTGTTGATGTGGCTGTGGCTAGTAGCAGCAAAAGGGATGAACTGCCCTGTCAGAGTGGTCATTCTTGGATGAAAACGTGGATACTCTCGCTTCCCACCCATTACGATAATCTTATCGAACTGCGTCCAGAAATGGCAGATACGGGAGGCGCTCCAAGTCTTGATGGTGTTGCGAAACTGCCCTCTCCCACGGATGCACATCTTCGCCCTTACCTGCAGTTTGAGCGGCATCGTCGTAAGGTGCTGCAGGAACAGGCGAATGTCGAGGCGGAATTTCAGTTATGTCAATCGGTGCTATCTGTTCTACAAACGTTTCCAAATTGTAACGGTGGTGAGGCACCAATATCAGCTACATTGGAGCAGTTTCTTTGGGCTTACAACACCCTCATGAGTCGTGGTTTCTCGTACAATGCAGAGGTTTGGAGCCTTATCCCGTGGGTAGATTACTTCAACTATGCCTTTAGCAGCAATGCCACAATGGCGTACGATGAAAGACGCGAAGCATACATTTTTGAAACACTTCTTCCCATTGAGCGAGGGGAACAAATTATGCTGCAATATGGTGCTTATACTGACATGGAGCTGTTGCTGTGGTATGGTTTCACCCTCACCCCAGGGTTATTCCCTGAACTCGCCAGGGCCACTACGCTAGAGAAACGAGTCCAGGTACTGCGAATGCTTTGGCGTGACGATGTAGAACTAATGGATGCAGCCGATAACTGCCTTTCCAAGCGCGATGAGGCGTGGTTAGATGCTGTAAACAGAGCGTTGGGTTATTCTTTTTCACCATGGGCCGATGCGGACGGATCCTACCCGTCTCCTAAACCACGTGAGTCTTGGCTGGAGCTCCTGCTTTCTGCATACATAAGGCTGCGAAGCGTGGGTATTTGTGACAGCCACAGGGGCACGTTACCTCCCGCAGCAGAAGCAGCGAGCGTAGTTGCCAAGTTAATTTTAGGGACACCGGCGCAACACCCACTTCCACCCAAACTAACGGCCCACGATTGCCGTCTGGGGGCCCGGGGCCCATCGCCGTCTATGCTGCTTCTTCTGAACTACGTTAGCCACCTTTGTTCCGCGTCTAACGAAGGAACACGCTTAACCCCGGCTGACGTTCTGCGAGCTATTTGTTGGGCAGAGCTGTTTTGTAATTCTGAGCCGGGGATGGAGGCGTTATTTCTTAAAAATGAGACAGCCGCGCCGCCTGGGGGCAGTGTAAAGGCCATGGCGCGTCAGGCATCGTTGGATGCTGCTGCGCTTCTGCACCTCCTGGCGGTGGAGGCGACGGAGGAGGAATTGTGCGTCTACCTCTCGAGGGAGTGCGAGTAGGCGGGGATGAGGACGACATTTCCATTAAGCATGTGCGAAGGGGTTGGATAATTGAGAGAAGGCGCACAGCGGGAGAGAGAGAGCGAGAGGAATCACCTTTAAGTTTTTTTTTTTTTGCGTCTGTGCCGTTGTTAAGCACCTCCTCTTTTTTGTTTTTCTTTTCTTTGCGTTGCGTGTGCTACGCAGGCGTAAGGAAATGTCAGAGCCTGGTGTCTCTGCCACGCAGGAAGGAGTTGCTAATCGCGGCAGCACCGCCAATGGTGGTCGATGCTTGGAGTCTTTCCTCGCCAGGTATGCCTCGCGATGTAAAGAGTCTGCCACCGAGATGAACCCTCGTGCGCTGCAGGCTGCTGTTGCGATGCAAGAGGCTCTTGAAAAAACGAAAGGGGATGTGTCCGACGTGGGTGCCAAGGCACGAGGAGCAACGTACACACTCAGTGCCGTGCCACTTGGCGTTAGCGGCTCGCAGGCACTTTTTCCAGCCATTGCCTGCATGCCTCTTGTAAGGCTCGGTCTCGCCGACTGTTATTTGGGTGACGCCGGCACCCGCATCCTCGCGGAAGCGTTGAGCACAAGTTCCCGTTGTGGGAGTGTGATGCGCGTGATTTGCTTAAGTGGTGTGGGTATCACAGATGCTTCATCGCTGGCGTGTTTCGTGACGGCAACCCAGCAGCTGCAGCTGCTGGATGTGTCTCGCAACAGAATCGGCACACAACCGCACACTTTGGCGGTGCTGTGTGCGGCGATGCGGCACCACAAATCATTGCAGGAGGTGAATTTGAGTGACAACCTGATAACCGGCTCATGCGCCGTGAGTGTGCAGGCAATTGCGGAGTGGGTGGTGTGCGCTGGTCACGACGACGTTTTGCATCGCATTGATTTGCGCTTTAACGCATTGGGGATGCTGCGGGAGGCTGGCAGTGTTGCCGCTCCGGCGTTGATGAAAGGGACACGCCTCATCTACGCCGCACATCCACTTGTGGATGCGGTTTTGCTTAACAACACCGTGGAATCCCTTGAGCTGTACGCCAACGCCCTTTCAGCCGATGTCCTTGATGTCGTGGAAGCCAAGTTGGCTGTCAACAGGCGCACGAAGGAGATTCTGCGGAAGTTGTTTGCGCAGGAGGCTTCGGGCAGCGTGTGAGTAGCGCCGACGCGCGCACGCAACGCGGAAGTTGCAACGCCAGCTTCAAAAGACTCAAGCTGACGAGGGCGTGGACACATGGACTGTATATATATATATATATATATATATTTCCACTCTTTGCATGCATTGCATGGAAGGCGTCGTATTTTGCGGTGACGCTTGCCTTCTCCGCACACACTTTTCTCTATCTTCGATAAGCCCGCTCCCTCCAGGGTCATCCCCCACGTCCAAGGCAAAAGGCAAGGCAGAAGTAGAAGCACGAAGAAGGCAGAGGCACCATCTCCATGCGGTCGAAGTCCCAATCGACGTCGTCGCGGGCAAACGGCACAGCCGCCGCCGCCGCCGCCGCCGCCACCAACACCAACACCACTACTGCCACGGTGCCCGTGGCCGCTGCGCTGCCGACGAAGAAGGTGGCGGAGTTGGTTCGACAGCTGGCAGAGTCTCAGTATGAGGCACAACAGCTCCACCGGCGGATGGAGGCGTTGCAGCACGAAAACGCCTCACTTCGCGCTACCATTTTGCGGCGAGATGCTGCGGGTAGTGTCGTAGGCGTCGCACCGCCCCAACAAGAAGAACCGCCCAAAAACCTACAGCAACGGCAGCAGCTTCAGCAGCTGCGGCGGGGTGAGGGTGAGGGGCCTCCCGCGGGGGCGGGAAAAAACACCCCCGCGATAAATAGTAGTTCTGTAAAGAATTCAGTCTTTATGGACGGACCGCTCTCATATGCACCGGGGACGCAGGCGTCGCTAGCGCCCGACGCGATGGGGGCTTACTTGACGCCGCCCTGCTTATCCTTGAAGGCAGCTGGCGAACCGTCTGCAACAGGCGCGGAAAACGTCGGCGGCCAACACTCCTCCTCTGGGGAGTCTTGCTTGAAGAGGAAGTATGCCAAACTGAAACGGATTTATGAGAAGACGCTTAGAGAGCGTGATGAACAGCTTGCAGAGGTGCAGCAACTGGTTCATCAGATTCAAGCGGAGCATGATGAGCTGCGGCATCGTCATGAGCGAGAGCGCCTGCAACAGCAACTGGAACTAGAGTCAAAGGGCCGAATGCTGCTAGAGACGAAAACAAAGTCCCTTGAAGAAGAGAAATTGGCGTGGCAACAGCGATTCTTGCGTTTGCTGGAGGAGCCTTCGCACGTGCGCACTCCCGTGATGGCGCGAGAAGTGACGGAAGCACTCAGTGACGCTAGTGCCGCTGGAAAGCCCCCACCTCGTCCGGATGGTTTGAACCTGACAGAACTTTCCCTTATGTGGCCAGAGAGTGCGCTTGCTTCCGTGCTGGATACGGACACCTTCCCGCAGAGTGTAAGTGCTTCGCATGGCAGTTCTTATGGCAACGCCGTGAAGAGGAAGATGAATGACGTGGAACAGTTGTATCTGCAGCGGCGGCGGCAGCAGAGGGGGGAGGGCGTCGTCAGCGCAGTTGATTCAAGTGGAGCTCAGAATGTCTTGCCACGGTCGCTGGCTGCGACGAGCAGGCGCTCCGTTGCTGTACAGGTGAGGCCGTCGGCCACAACCGCAACTTCGCAGACAGAGACTTACAGCCAAAGGTCTGTAGGCACTTTCGTGGATTTTGGCAACCAGAAGAACATGGCAACTGGTGACATGCTGCGGACTGCGGGGGAGTCAGAGCTGAAACAGGAGTCCCAAAAGGGAACTTTCAGCACCTTTGATAGAAAACTAGAGGAGCTGCCACAAGCTCCTTTTCCCGAGATCTCGAAGAGTTCACTTCCGTTCTATGCATTGCGGCCTGCTCAGCAGAAGGGTCTGCAGCATCACGTTTATTATGCTGTGGGTCAGGTGCATGGAATGGGCAACGGTTGTCATCCATCTTGTGTGCCCCCATTTAGGCAGCTGGGGGAACAAGAGCCGTTTTCTGCCACTTTTGCTCCCTCCGCAGCAGCTGCTGCTTCTTCCTGCATGGCAGGATTTGAGAATCTTCCTGACAAGGATCAAGCGACACGAGATCGTCTTGAAGCGGACATTCTAAAACATGATCAGCTGCTAGAAGCCGTGGCGAAACTGCAGCGAAAAGCCCAGCGTGTTGCCAAGACACCGTCGTTTTAGGGGCGACTGCGTTGACATTGTGTTCCATTGCCTTTGATTCCTAGGTTCTATTCCCCCCTCCCCTTTCGGTGTACCGTTAGTGAAGGACCCATTTAGTGTGTCTCTGTGCTGTAGAACCATATTGTGTTCTCTCTTCCCCTCAGTTTGTTGTTATTGTTGTTGTTGTTACTTTGAGGCGTGAGATAGAGAGTGAAAGATGTTTCGCTATCCCACTTTCCGTGTACATTTTGTACCCTTTCCAATGCGGCAGACCTCATTTCTGCTTGGGATTCTCAGCTGGAGGGTTTTTTTTTTCTTCTTGTTGTTGTCCCTTATCCTTTTTGAAGAGCGTCTCCCACGTATATGCATTTGCTTGCATGTAGTTGTCTACGCACTGGTGCATGCCTCTCTTTCTGTGTGTGCCTGGCGTGGGGTAGTGACGTCGCTGCGTCTTTGAGATCCGGAGAGTTTTCTTACGTTTAACATGATGCCCGTAGGAATCTGCGGAGGCTTCTATTTGTGTGTGTGTGCGCCTGGTGCCTCTTCACAGTTTTTTTTTCTTTCCTTTCTCCTTTCTGGCTGCTGGGTTTTCTTCCACCGCTTTACGTGCAGAAGGCCCTATACGTTTTTTTTATTACTGGGAGTTGCCTTTGTTTCATTTCGTGGCTTTTTGTGCGGCTTGAGTGCCATCATCCATGTCGACAACCTCACGGCCTCACCACACCGCGAACGCGGGGCTTCTCCACGGAGCAGTCGCTGCTGAGGTGGCTGCTCCGCTTGACGGAAACCATAATTTTCAGGGCACCGCAGCCGACGCGCATGATGTGCTCCTCTGCGCACCGACGGAGGAAGACAACAATGCGTGCGGCGGACGTCCGGCGGCTGACGGTGGCGATGGTGCCTCTTTCGGCGACTTTTTCTTCCACAGCCTCCCACCTGCGGGGGGCGATGACGCGGCGCAGCCCGCGGTGTTTGAGGGCTTTTGCTTTGACGACATCTGCGGCGACGGCGCGTGGCCAACCGGAGGCACGGCGATGGACGAGGCGCCCGGAGAGGCTGTCGAGGACGGCAATCAGCCCCGTGCGCCGCCTCCGTTTGATTTTCTTCTTTCCGAGGACGCCACCTCCACACGCGTGGCGGCTGCTGTGGGCAGAGGCACCGGAGAAGAAGCGGTGCTCGACATGGAATCGGCGGCGATGCTGCACCCAAACTGCGGTGTGGCTGATCTCACGTCCGCGCCTGTTGCTGTTTCCGCGGAGCTGCCACAGCAGTCTGCAGCAGAAGCGACGAAAAAACTGCCTGGGGAAACTGCTGTCCATTTTCCCTCCACCACAACCGACACCATTGAGGCGGCCTGCATGGCCCCTGTCGCCCTCGGCAGTCTCAGTACCCGCCAGAGTAACGGTGGAAACGACACTTCCGCTGAGGGCGCCACTGCGACGACGGAGGTGGTGAATAGCGCCCACTCGCTTCCCTTCGGTTCGCTGCGGCAATCACTCAAACTCAACGACATCTCTGTGTCCTCCGCTGCAGAAAGCGCGATAACAGCTGTGGGGGTGGCTCCGCGTGTGCCGCGGGAAAGTGTGGACGAGTTGCTGCGGCGTGCCAATCGTATTCTTTCCGACGGAGACTCCGCTGACGCCGCGCAGAGCTCCGCAGAGGGGGGGAGTGCGCGTCAGAGCAATCAATCGGATACTCTCTTCAGCGCGCAGGTTTCCCACTGGCTACGAAGGTGCGTGGAGGTACAGGAGGCTTCCTTGGCCGCTGTGGCGGACCTTCAACTAAGAACGACAAATACAATGCGTCTGTTCAGCGCCCACTCAGGGCTTTCGTCCGCACTCGGGCCACAATACGGTAAAACACCCGTTGTTTTAACACTTCCACTTGTACTTCCACTGATGGAGTCTCTTCTTGAGGAGGTCTAAGTGCTTTTGGCTTGCAAAGGCGGGACAGGACTACTCGCGTCTGCATCTTCACATCCTGAGACTCACACACATCAAAGAGCTGAAAGGCAATGAAAGACAGATTGTTTTGCCTCCTCTATCCCTGCTTCTGTTTTGTTCCACATCAATAAACAAATAAACGGCAACAAAACCGCACCCCTCCACCCATTAGTGACAATAAAGCATATATATATATATATATATATATTTCTGTTTTACTTTTATTTATTTATGAGGCCCTTTTACAAGGGTTGTCTGCGGTGATTCTCGTCATGTCTGAATGTCCCCTGGCGGTTCCTTCACTCATCGAAGGGCATATTGCGCGAGATTTTTTCGGCCCCACTTGTTTTTTCTTTTCCTTATTGCATATATGTGTGTTAATATTCTACCTGCTTCTCACTGGGTGTGTTGTTTTTGTTGTTGCCCGAGAGGTGTGTGTCTCAAATCGGTCAGACACGCGCGTGACGGGCGGCGAGGAAGGTAGCAAGAAGAAGAGGAAAGCTCAGGGGGACGCGGAGTCGGCGGGCGGGGTAGTCAGAGGCGCTCAATGGACGGTGTGCAGTACCAGATAGAGCAGCTGCAGTACGCCCTCGCGCAGCTGGACCCGTATCGCATGCTGGCGCCAGAGGACGCCTCCCAGCTGCAGCTGGGCCTTGCGAACACAACAGCGATTGCCCGTCGTGTAGTGGAGCGGCAGTCCCGCCGAACGTTTCCGATGCGGCTGGCGGGCGTGAGTGTGTCTGGCAGCGTTCGACCCACACTTCCCAGTGTGAGCCCCTTCACCTCCTCGCCTTCGAGGGAGACGCCTCGGAAGGAGCCCTGTGACGGCTCCGGCAATGGCCTAACGTCTGCTGGGGGGAAAGGGAGTGACGCAGGGGAGTCCTTGCCGCAGCACGGTGAGAGGGAGGGCGAGGGAGGATGCTTCTACGAGTCAGTTCTTAGCGTCGCCACGCAGCACGGGGTTTCAGTGGAAGAGATTCGTCGCTACAATCCACAGCTGTCGGAGTACAACGATGAGGATGTGCTTCCAAGGAACACATACATTAAGATGAAGCTGCAAATGTACCCACAGCCCCACCGTGAAGACGACACGGAGCAGGCGACGGTTGATGCTCGTGCAGAAACACGGCAACCTCGCCCAGGCGACACCGTGTCATCAGAGCCCCCTATGCCGTTAGCACCATTACCAACCATTCAAGAGGCACTGCGCCGTCCCATGAATTCGAACGCCATGCTGGCGCGAGGTGGTGGAGGTTCTTCACCCCTTGGGCCTCGCGCGGATAGCGCGGACTCACCGGATGGGCCACTGATGCAACTACCCTCCCCTTCCCCTGACAGATCGGGCGTGGCACGAAGAGGAAATCTCACCAGCCACTCCATCGCAAGTAAACTCCATGACCATAGCCATACAATCGACATAAATTCCATGCACTCTGCTGTTGCCCCTGCCCCTGTGGCTGCCGCGGGTGCCGGCAATGGTTCTGCCGTGACAGAGGTTTCCAAGGGCACTTTAAGTGCCCAAAACCTTGCCGAGGTGGAAACCATGGCAGCTGAGGCTGCTCCAAGTTCTTTTTCCGCCTCGAAGTTTGGCAAGCCTTCGCTTACCCAGCACAAGAACACCGTGCCCTCAGCTAATACCCGTGCTATTTCGAGATATGCAAACAGGCTGTGGGCCGGCGATTATGATTATTCCCTCACGACAGAATCATCTTCCTTTCACTCTACTCTTACACCAACTCCGAACATGTCGCCGCAGCCAAACAAAAAGAACAACCAGGTGGAATCTGGAAACTCAAGGAGGGGTGCATTGGGAGCTGCAGCTACCCCGCCACCGTCGCTGGCAGCAAAAAAAAGTGGCGGATGAAGGTTCCTGCAGCAGAGGCTTTGCCAGTAGATAGCTCCCTTGATAAAAAAGAGTTGTCGCCGATTGCTAAGGCGCTTCCTGAGCCTATTGAGAACGACGAGGAGTATGACACGCTGAATTCTATTGCATTGAAGTACAATGTTACCATCAAGGTAGTACTGCAGTGGAATCCGTACTTAATGGCCTACGAGGCAGATGATCCGTTGCCGCCGAATTTACCTATTATACTGCCGATTCCGCAGCAGAGCTGACATTTGCAGCCCGCTTCTGTCGCCTCCGTCTACAGCTTAAGCCTTGCCCCTTCCCCACGTGGCAAATGGAGACGGTTTCGATGCAGGGGTGCTGAGTTGGCATGAACAGGCCAATGAACCGAAGAAGGACAAAAAGAACATTTGGAATTGTTTTTGATTTTATTATTGTTATTATTACTATATATATACTTTGTTTGTAGAGGCATGAGGGGGCGAAAGACGTCGTTCTTTGTGCTAGAGAGTAATATATATCTAACCTGTGTAGGGGGCACCGGTGTGTCTCATGTCTCTTTGCAGGAATGGGGGAAGGCGGGGCAGTGCATCTGCCTCGGCGTATCCACTGGCCCGTAGAATGCGCAACGTGTGAGGCGGCCACGTGCACGGCTGAAGTGCCAAGTTTTAAGATAATTTTAGAGCACTGCGCTTTCGCAGCTGAAACTGCTTGGAGGCGTCAAACAACTGCAACGGCACAGGAATAGAGAAATCCGCCGTCCAGAGACAGCGACAGGAAAGAGAGGGAGTGAGGCGACGAGGGAAGGAAAGGGCTGCCACTGGCTTAATAGCCAGAAGAGCAGCGAAACACATGCAAACAGAGGGAAGAAGAAGGGATGGGGGCATGCGTCTATAATCATTCACCTCAAGCATAGTGAGGTTAAAGAAGATAGGACAAATGTTTCAACTGTATTGATAACTAATGCACTTTTTGACTTGTGCTTTTCATCTCTCCTCATCCCCACATACATTGCGACAGCAACGCAGTGAAAATTACTCACCTCATTTTTTGGTGGTTGCTGATTTTGAAATGCGCCCTCATTCCTCCCCTTTTCTCTCTATCTATCTCTCTCTCTCTGTGTGTGTGTGTGTGCCTTTTGTTATTTTCTTTACATCAGACGCTGGATTTGACGATGTGTTCCCCCTTTTTTTTTGTTCTCTGCTTGTGTGTGCTGGCTTGTGCGGAGGTGCATATATACATACACACACACACATATATATATATATATATATGTTTATGTCTGTGGGGCTCAGCAGCCGTTGTGTTTCCTCCATCCTTTTTTTCTTCTTGCTGCCGCACCCACCTCCCACTGCGGTTTTTCTTCCACACCGTGTTTGCAACAGTCAAGGAAGAGAACGCATTTCTTTGTTTTGTTTTCGTTTTGCGTCCCTCTGCCCCTACAGTTATGCAGCCGCCCGCTGTTGCCACACCTCCAGCCAGGGTTGCATCACTCCCCATCATTCTCCGGAAAAATGACAGCCTTGTCCTCGCCGCCTTCTCCGAAGAGCAGCGCACGCTGACGGAGGTAGAGAGCACACTTATGACTGGCGACTACCGCGAGTGTGAGGTGAGATTTAATCCCGTGACTAGGACCGCCTTCGCCCATGCTACGACGACGCACGTGCGATACAGCGAGTTGGTGCCAACGCACGATGCAACTGCATGGGGGCTGAAGCTGCTCTTTGAGGTGGAGGAGCGGAACGTCGTGGCACTGTCGTTCTCGACACTTGGCACAGTACTCGTGACATACGCTATGATGGACAGCAAGCGGCCGGAGGGAAACATGTCACTCTACGATGTTTCTACAGGAAAACTGCTTCGCCGCTGCGTGCAGGCCCGCTGGCCTGGCATGGTGTGGTCAAGTGAGGAATTGTATTGCGTTCGCCCGGTGCAGGGGTTTCTCCACGTGATGGACGGCAACCTCCGCCGGGAGGATGTGCCGGTGCTCGCAAAGATGGATCTCCATCTGCCGCAAGACAAGGAGATTGAGTTGTCAATGTGCCCAGGCAGCCTCCCCCTTCTCGCCCTTTTTAAACCCTTCCACAAACAAGCACAGGGCACTCTGTTCATCTACCGACTCCCTCATCTCTTGGAGGGGGCGATGTATCAGGTGCCATTTGGGCGTGCAGAGTCGGCAACAGTGCTTTGGAGCGGGTCTGGAAACCACATGGCGCTCCTGGTCAAATCTGAGAGTGACAAGAGCGGTAAGAGCTACTACGGCACCGTGACGTTTTTCCTCGTCAATGTCACCGGTCGCAGTGTAAAGGAGATCAAGTTCCCTAGTGGAGAGTCTGTGCATGACTGCCAGTGGAGTCCGACCACGGATCACGTCATGGTGATCCACGGCACAATGCCACGCAACAAGACGACAATGTACGACAAGGCCGGCGTGGCGCTTATGACGTTTGACGAGGCGCCTCGAAACGTTATTCTTTGGGCGCCGAATGGCCGTTTTTGTGCACTGGGTGGCACAGGAAATCTTGCGGGCGATTTCATATTTTATGACCTGCACCCTGCAGAGGGAAATGACAGGAGCATTAAAAATAACCACGGTGATAAAAACAAAACGGCGCCTACGACGACAAATTCAGCAGCAGCAGCGACGGCGGCGGTAATGGTGGGTGAGTTTAATGAGAAGAGCAGCGTGCAGATGTGGGCCCCCGATTCGCGTAACTTCCTCTGCGCCACCGTTTTCACCCGTCTACGCATTGACAACAAGCTCGTTTTCTTCAAAAATAATGGTGAGCACCTCATGACGCAGAAGTATCCCTTCCTCTATGGCGCGCACTGGGTGCAAGCGCAAGAGACAAACTTGTACCCGCAGCGCCCGGCGTCGCCGCGCAGGGAGACGGATAAACCCTCCAAGCCGCAACCGTACAGACCCCCTCATGCAAGTGCGGCTGCCGCGGCACTTTTACGCCGGCCAGACTCCTCTACGCCTAAGCAGGGGAAACCCGCAGGTCCTCTCGGTGCTACAGTTGTAGTGCAGAAAAAGAAGAAGCGGTAACAGATATTTTACTGTTTGATCTCGTTATTTCATCTCATTTGTGCGGGTGTGTATCTCTTTTTTCTTGCCATTGCGAAGAATAAGTAGGGCCCTCTTTTTCTATATCTTTTCTCTCGTAGGTCGTTTTAAACTCTAAACGGTGCGAGAACCGGCAATTGTCGTCCTGCAGCCTGTACTCACTAGCCGTGGTGCTGCTTGTGGGCAGGGAATTGTGTTTCTCCATACCCTTTTGACATTCATTCTTTTTGAATATGTATTCCCCCCCCTCCCTTCGTTGCTGCTGCTTCCCCCCTAAGTGCGAGAAGGCTGCATTGACGCGCACTTCTCTCCAACGCCCCTTACACCTTCGTTTTTGTGGACCCAATAGCTGTTTTGTTGTGGCGGCGCCTGACGGCGCCAAGCAGAAGTTGTGGTGGAGAGGACGAGAGGGGGTAAAACAAGACAACAACAACAAGGAAAAAAAAAGAAGAGTGTGCCGGGTGACGTGAAGCCCGTTGCAGTCTGTTGAGCCGAACAATCGCAAAGGAACGGGTACGCGGAGACAACCACGGGTGAGGTTCGTCACCGCCACCGATCTCGGTTTGCAGGTGAAGCCCTGGTCGAAACGAATGGCTAGTTGACAGGGCGGCCTGCGTGCGCTGCGGAAAGAGTGTTGTGCGTGGGGTCTCCTGAGGATTCATTGGGATGAACTCTGAGGGTCGTCAGGACACCAATTCGGTTGCATGGTGTGCGTTCTGCAGCTGCCCAATTCGTCTGGAGCCAGGAAGCCTTGGGCGGAGACACAATAAAGGCGTGTCCCCACAACTGCACATAAAATGCCGAATCTGCCGCACAGGCGGCAAGAAATGACGCCCTACTTCCGCAACTCTACTGAAGAGGATGGGCCGATTTACGTCGGTCGACGTGTTGTCCAGCCGACTTGAGGGCAAACGCGTGCGCGTGGTGAGGGCCCCGTGGCCGTCCGTTGTGGGGCGCGAGTTCTGGCTGGACACAAGCTGGGACGAGCACTGGTTTCTGTTCCACGACGACGACGCCTTGCAGGTGGCGGGGCGACCAAGCGAGCGGGACGTGCTGGAGCACAGTGACAGGGGATTGGTGGAGGGGCGCCGCGTGGCGACAGTGTGGGTACTAGAGTAGCCGCAGAGGCGACAATGCCCATTTCCGCCATGGAACTGGAATACGGTGTGACCACACGCCGGACGTGGACTGCTCGACCCAGCGCACCCACTGATGGTCACTAGCTTTGTTTTGGAGGTGTAACGAATGCACTGCAGCCACCCACGCCGTGACGGACGCCGTCTGATGGACAGTGTGCTGCTGCTGCTGC